TAAATGTAAGTGTAAATAAATGTAGAGCAGTAATCTGGCGTGGTCCGTGGCATCAGTGTAGAGTCCCCATGTCAGCCACGTCACACCTCAGTGCCAGCAGGGGGCCTCAGTGAGCATTCATGCACTGTCAATCTGCTGCATTATTCAATCCATCCAATGAACCCATACGACATGTGTATCCATGTGCTCTACTTGCAGGTCTTCGTTTTCAGAGTAAAAGTAAATCTCAAAGTGGACCTTTTCAAACACAAACTGTGCTCTGAGCTTCATTAATATTTCATACATTTTTCTAATTTTATCAAATAAAAACAGCTCAAGCTGCAATGATGTTGGGGCCAAACCAGGCAAATGGATTTCTGGGGTCTGTCTTTTTTACATAAATCTTTCTTCACGGATGCATATGTCAGTAAACCATCTTCCCATCTTGTCATTCTGTCCGAAAGCTTCTTGTCCCGATTTAGCGTTTAATAAGAGAAAGTTTTATATCTATCTGAACTTATATCTAAAGCAACGTACAGTAGAGGGAACCATGTGCTCCCAGGGATTTGAACCACAACCTTTGCATTATCAGTGGCATGCAGTGCTTGCTGAGCTACAGAAGCATAGCGTCACTGCAATCCTGGTAGCTGGGGCAGGCTGGCAGGTGATTGGCCTGATTGTGCCTGGTTGTAGGACTGATGGGACTGTAGGTCACCAGGCAGTGGAGAAATCGATTTACCTGCAGCACCTCCCCCCCAGGACTATGACCTGATGCTGATGAAGAAGCCTGCCAAGCTCCCTTCAGCCCCCCCACCACCACCACTCTGACGAATAGAGTCATTTTAATAACATGATCCTGTGAACCATAGCGCCCCGCCGAGCCGACTGAGTTAAGACGGCGTTAACTTTTTCGCCACCTTAAATCCCCACCTTTTTAATGCGGGGCCACCTTAAAACACTAGCCCCGTTCTGGTTGCAAGGGGAGACGGCTTCCATGGCAACCTCAGGAGGAAGCCTTTTTGTCTGCACTGAAGGCTCTTTCACATCCCTATATTTCCGCCTGCTAATTGCACAGAGTTATGTGCTATTATGAAGCCGCAGCACGGCGGAGTATCGGCCCGGTTTATTTGGGCTTAACAATTCGCAGTAGGAGCCTGGCACAAAGGAATCGCCTTCCTGTTCCCATTTTAGTCCAGCCTCGAATGTCCGGGCCAGCAGAAAATATAATCAATTACATTGCTGTTTGTGCTAAAGCGGGGTCATTTTTACCACGGAATATGTAGCCGTGACCTCTAACGGGACCGTCACTAACAGGCACAGACCTGCTGGACCATCCTTCTGGCCCCTCACATGTCAGCTGTCCGTGCCGCACTGAAGTGTTCTTCTGGGCCATGGAGATTGGAAAGGGTCTGTGTTTTGGAGGGGGTGAAAAACAAGGAGCATCATCAATCTTTAACGGCTCCCTGAACGATCCGCGACGTGACTGGAATGCAGAACCCGGGCCTCAGGGCCTCCGAGGTGAGAATCGATGCCTCTGTAAGGCCTGTGGATGCTGACCCTCTGCTGCTGCGCCTCGCCGCGGCCCCTCTGCGACCTGCTTCTCTCCTGTTATCTTGATCCAAGCCCTTATATTGGCATTCCAAATAAAAAAGTCCTGTCTATCCTGATACAGGCTCCTCCCCCTTGTCAAAAACAAACACAAAATTAAAAAGAAAAAATCATGAAGACTGCTTCCAGTTTCTGCATATTTACCTCCAGAGAGCTAAAGAGACTCACAGGTTTGTCGGTTGTCAAAACCACCCTTGTCAATTGGTATGAAGACTGACTCCTCCGTGTCAAAAATGAGAAGTGAAAACTTGATATTACGCAAGGTGGTCTGTTCTGAGAGCCAGGAAGCCGACTGGTTGTCAAAACACACCTGTCAATCACAAAAGGGAAAGAATTACAGAGGGTGCCGTGTTTTCCCTCTTTCCTCAAAAATGCTTCACACATACAACATATATAAACCCCTGGAAAACAGCTAGTGATGTCTTGACCAGAGACCAATTCTAGCAAAGACCAAAAATGAAAGAAGAAAAAAAAAACAAAAAGTGAAGAATCAAGTGTATCTCACAGAATCCCAGTATTCAGGAGACCGTGTCAGCATGGAACCTAGGGGGTTAGCGTTTGGAAGACTGGGCCAAACTATTGACAGATAATGTCAACAATTCAGAGCGAGAACAATTGTACCTTCTCTGTACAAACAGGATACATCAAAGCCCAGGTGGACACTGCGGAGGTCACTCTGCACACCCAGCATCCAAGAAAATGTTATGGCACCGGTACTCCTGCCATCTACTGGCCTAGAGTCCCTTTAGGTGGGATGTGTGTTCAGATCCAAACTGGATCTCTTAGCCAAGGGCTTATGGATACAACAACATAAACAGTATCTCTGTGTTTATTAAAGGCGTCGATTTACCCTCCATACTGAGCAAGATTTAAGATAATAATCGATGCTGCTCTCACTACGTCAGTGTCAAGCACAGTATGCCAACTTTGGAGGTAAGAGGGCTAAAAGTAAAATAAATTAAAAATACAAACAGAAATAAGTTGAATGGAAATTGCTGTTTGAGGGCAAAGATGTGAATGAATAACTCAAATCTGACAATTAACGAAGAGGGTTATGGTTTTGCTGCAATGGGACGAGGGAGTGGACATAGAAGGTGGTGAGACACAGAGGGGTGAGGAGGTCCCCCATGAAGATACCCAGCTGGTAAGCATGCAGTAACGCTTCCAAAATGTGGAAGACGGGATTGAGGCCGCCTCACTTCGACTGCAAGCCATTCTCGTTACTTCGTTTGCCTGTCTCAAACGAGTGGAAGCAGCAGGCGAGATTACGCACCGGAGAACTTCACTCTGATGGCAGATTGGTCCCCACGCGCCTTTGAAGAGCGGGAACCTGCTGGCAGACGTGCTGCACGCGAGCACCTGCGCACGCACAGACAGACACTGTACACGCACGGCTAGGGGGGAGGTCGCTGACAGGGATCACGCAAATAGTAAACAGATATTTCTAGTCACTACGTCCTCCCTGGCTCCCTGCCAGGTTCGAAACTGCTGGGAAACGAGACATGCCATGTTCAGGCAGTCCACGACGAGGAGATGCATGGTGCAGGAGCGGAAGAGCGCATGGCACCAGGGGACACCCATAAAAACCTAAACACAACCGCAGAAGGAGGATCCTTACCTCTGCTGGACCACCCATTAAAAGGGCTGAGAAATGATATCTAAATCCCTGAGACCAGCGGGCAAAGTAGGAGTCTTTAAAACTCCGGAACCAGAGAGAGCCTAAAAGGGCTCATCAGTGTGGAAGCTGAGCGTTAGGGAAGCGAGGAGACAGTGGAAGAGTTCAAAAGATCGCCCTTTGTTTTTTGACACCTCTGTCGCTGCCTGATCTGTGGCGCCTGTCCGATCTGCGGCCGCATGTGCGCTAGGTTTGACATATGCGGCGCATGCTTCAATGGTTTTCGACGCATCGACGGCGCATTATGTTTTTGTGCCATTAACCTAGGCATTTGTGTTACTTTTTATTTTGAATCACTACAATACATCACCTTAATACAGCATCTCCGTATCAGTTTGGTAAAAAGAGGAGTACTAAATGGACGAGATGGGCCAAGAGGCCCGGGCTGCTATACGAGGCCCAGAAAAGCAGAGCTTTCAAATCCATAGCCACAGCAGGAAATATGGAATATGCTGATCACGTGACACACACTCCAGAGACAGCAATCAGATACAACCCCCCACCCCCCGAAAGGGACACTGGGGAGGCAGCGGGCAAACAGCTGACATACCTACTAATTTCCCTTCACTAGCACATCTGAAGTAGGAAGGACAAGTACATCTAATTTAATCACGCATAGTTGGATACTTTTCTGGATCTGTCGGTCCAGTCTGGAGCATTGAATCAGAGGGCTGTGTGTTAGGGCTGGGTAGGGGTTAAGGTCGTCATGTTGGGGTTAGGGTTTTCCCCATAGACATAAATGGAAAGTCCCCACAAAGATATAATTACAAACCTGTGTGTGTGTGTGTTTGTCTGCCTAACCGCCCCGCACACCCACTCTCCCGGGCATATAAAGGTTAATGGTCCAATGAAGCCAGCCAGAGTAATCCTGTAAGAACCAATCAAAGCACAGATCACCTCCAGAGCACAACCAAACCAATAGGAATGGGGAACCTGGCAGGCCCCAGCGTCAGGTGCTATGGAGGCGGCGGGTCCATCAGCCCAGAGGCAGAGCCATGGACTGCATCATGCCACTCGCATGTCAGCCGGGCACCACCGCAGTCATCAGCAGTAATCTGTGAGCTGACCCCTCCCAGCGCCTGAGGAAGCCGGTCGCCCAAGCATCCTCAGCAGTCAGCCTGCAGTCCCCCCCCCCATACCCTAAATGTAGGAACGAAACTGGACCCTGGCATGCTACAGGGAAGCGGCATTGAAATTCACGTCACAACAAAGCACTTAAATCTTCCGAGAGAGATATTGCTTTTCAATTCCTCGGGAGAGTCAGACCGCAGATCGATGGGGCCTAATGGTGACCAATTGAGGAGCTGGGTTTTCGTTTCCCAAGCTCGTGGACGATTCCCCCCCCACCACCAACATACACACACAAAGCAATGGGACTCTCTCCCAGCGTGCAGAGCGCTCAGGGTGGCGGGGACATAAAGACGAGTCTGTTCTAGATGCAGGCCGTCCCGCTAATGATTGGTGGGTCGGTCAGAAAACACTCAGCAAGAGCAGCTCCTTGCGATAGCGGTGCACGAGCCCCGGTTCCTCCGTCTCCCCCTGAACATTCTCCTCCGCCGCTACACCCTAGGTAACCCTTAAACCTTTTCCTAAAACCTTTGGCTCCATATCCCAAACACCAATGACCCTAATCAAGAACAGATCCAAAAATGCAAAAAAACAAAAAGAGAAATACTGTAACAAGACCAAATGGGCAGCAGCATCACAGCAGAGGCACACGGCGGCCGGGCAGACTCACCATCCTCTCTGCATTCCTCCGGTGGCTTAGCCTTCTTGGCGAGTCGTGGATCCAGCCATGATGTGGTCTTGGTGTTGTGGCTACAGCGAGAGAGAGAAAGAGAGAGAGAGGGAGAGAGAAAGAGCCTCAGCGGTATGGAGGAAGCTCTCCAACAGGAAGCACAAAGATGAAAAAAAAGAACAGAACCTTTGCTTTTACCCCGACCGACGGGCGGAAAAAAGGGAAAACGACGCTCCTCAAAATCACCGTCGGCACATTTAATTTGCTTACGGCTCCTAATTATCCCGAGAGAGGCGTGTGAGTGATGGGAACTAACAGCTGTGCACTTGGCCGATCACGTCACGCCCGCGACTCCACGGCACAAACTGGACGGAGATCAGATGAGGGCGGCAGCCAAGAAAACTTCAATGAATCTGTTGAGCTCGTCTAAAGCCACAATGCGCTCCCTTCAAGATGATGACAGGACCGGGGGCAGGAGCACAGGGGAGCGGAGGGCCAGGGGGAGGGGTTGGACCGCGTCCTACAGTAGTCTGGAAAAGAGAGTCTTTCCTCCATCCCACCAGAGGCGTGGTCTAGAGCGGATGGCGCCTCCTGCTGGTTACCAAGCTCTATGACAACGCCGTGATGGGAACCAAACCAAAGTGGGGACAGATCTCGGTTTGAGCATGATCTGATTTCAACCAGGGATTTAAAGGTGTGAAATGGATAAATAGTTGGGAAAACGTACGTGAGCGAAGCGCCTGGCTAATGAGTTTAACGCCACAGAGCTAGCACCTCTGCATCTGTGCGAGAGCATATGCAGAGCAGAGAGCAGTGGGGAGCAGCTGCCCTCTGTGCAGAGAAAGCGAGCAAAAGCAGCACTCAGCTGCATCTTTGAGGGGTACATCTGCACTGCCGCCGTGATCTTCTGTTTTTCGCCATCATAAACATGACAGTGGTATGACATTATTTCAGACAAGCAGCCTCCCAGAACACGGCTTCTCAGCTGACCCCCCCCCCGCCACTTCAGCCACACCCCTCATCGAGCCACATGCATCCCTAGAGGGTATGGTCCTTGGGGCAAGGGGTGTTCGAATGTGGCACATGCCGGATAGCAGCTAGCGCTCTGCACCGCCATATTGAGCCCCACCTGCGAGGGCCCATGTAATCAAGGACCCGTCCGCAGCTGTCTGCTACAAGACCCACTGTGGAGATGAGACGTAGCCACCTTTTAAACAGAAATGCTGCATCCTGCTCAGCTACCCCCTCCCGGCCAACAAACAGAGCACACTGCTGTGCTCACACCATGAACCACTCCTCTTCTGTTCAGTGCAGTCCCTGTGTTTGTCTGTAAACATTCTGCCCGCCATGCTCAAAGCCAGGGATGTATGTGCAGTTCTGTTGGAGCAAACCTCCCTCATACACAAAGAGGCAGGCCTCTCCATTATCTCAGAGAAAGCAATCACACTAACTCAATGAGGCAGGTCAGTCCACTCTCTCTGTGAAGGCAGTCAAACTGACTTAATGGACCTGGCCACTCCATTCTGTGAAGGCAGTCACACTGACTCAATGAAGCAGGCCTCTCCAGGCAATCACACTGACTCAATGGACCAGGCCTCTTCATTCTGTGAAGGCAGTCACACTGACTCAATGAAGCAGGCCTCTCCAGTCAGTCACACTGACTCAATGAACCAGGCCTCTTCATTCTGTGAAGGCAGTCACACTGACTCAATGAGGCAGGCCTCTTCAGGCAATCACACTGACTCAATGGACCAGGCCTCTTCATTCTGTGAAGGCAGTCATACTGACTCAAAGAGGCAGGCCTCTCCAGGCAGTCACACTGACTCAATGGACCAGGCCTCTCCATTCTGTGAAGGCAGTCACACTTACTCAATGAAGTAGACTTCTCCCTTCTCTGTGTAGGCCATCTCCCAGTTGTCAGGCAAGGGCCCCAGCTCATCATTCTCGTCTGGCTTTGGGGGTGACTTGGGGGGCTCTCCCTCCTCCTTGGATACCTCCATGGAGGTGAGTGTAGCAGACTCGTTCTGGGTGGTGCTGTCGCCCGATGCATCCGTGCTCTTGTCCTCATGCTCGCTGGATTCTAAGAGCAAGAACGGCAAAGTCAGACCTGATATCCTTGCTACGTGCCCCTCTCAGTGAAAGGCAGAGGATGAACTGACAAAGTCAAAGAGAGAAGAGAAGGACAAGGCTCTGTGTGTAACTGAGAGCTCAGGGCATCACTGAATTCCATAGCCAGAGGGACAAGTACTGACAAAAGGCAGCGATGAAAATGGACTGGGCATAAACTCTGTATTGAAAGGAGGCTGTTTTGTGTCTCTAATACAACATGCCTGTTATATATATGATTCCATCTATCTATACATCTTTCTGTTCCTGAGTCCTTTTGTTCAAGTGTGCCGGCAATACGAATTCTTTCCTGCCAACAAGGCATCGCTGAATCACAACTAAGAAAGCGTGTGCAAGTGTGTGATTGTGTGAGACAGACAAGCTGGAGAAAGACAGAGCGAGAGAAAGGGGGCCCCGGTGCTCGATAGAGCTCTGATTGCTGACGGCCCCCGGGGAGAGAGAGAGTGGGAGCCAGAGACGACAGCGTGAAGAAGAAATCCATGAAGCTGAGCTATCTGCTGAGATCATAGAGTCAGCGTATCGACCCGGCCCATCACTGGGACTCGGCGCCCAGGAGCTATGGAAAAAAATGAATACGAAGACTCGCTTTCCTTTAGATCTGCTGATCAGAAAACAAAGAAAAGAAAAAAAAATCAGCAGTAATTCGTCAGTTTGCCAGCCCGCACACAAACAAAGTGATTACTTTGTCTCTAATGAAGAGCTACCTCCCTAACCAATGCTTCACTTGCGTTACAACCCCACCCCTCTAGCTAAGTGGACCGGTTCCAAGCTGGCGGCTTGGGATACCAGGACTTTTCCGTTCTGTTTGTAGTCGAGCCTCTGGCTTCTCTGCTTTTCATTTGAATGTCCACAGGATCTACAAAACAGAGACTGATAACTCAATTACTGTGACGGATCGATACAGGCACATAACTGAATAAGGAGCTTGATTTGCTCTCCTCGTTACTGGATCAGAAAAACGGGTCTTTTGCTAATTTAGAAAAATGCGACGGATAATGGAATAATCCTTCCATACTCCCGGAAATCGATCTGGGCAAAGTGGTCAGCTCCCCATGCTGCCGATGTACATCAGGGCCTTGAAGATGACAGCGTTCCCGAATTCACACCCAAACAAATGCTGTACCTGAAGCCACGAGTTGCACGGTGCCGACAGATGAGCAGTGCCCCCTAGTGGTCCTGCACTACAACTCTTCCCTGAGCCTCAGGGATTCTGCTGTGTACTGTTTAATAATTTTGTACTGGATTCATCGCCTGCTTCACTTGTCGTCTCATATTTATTGTATACATTTGGCCAGTTTGACGATAACAGGATTGCAATGGAATTTGGCTACAATTTGAAAAGACGTCACTCGCTTGGCTTGAAATACCATCAACTATCAAATTATACTGCATAATGGGTTGCACTCTTCACCAAATGCATGACGCTTTGATAACAGAATTACCTCTGCCATAGAATTACCTATTCGGCATTATGGGGTGCAGGAAGCAAGTATAAATTTTACCGAACTATATAAACATGACAAAGGAAGCACGCGTGACAATGTCATGCCGTGAGAGGCGATGCTCTGCACCAGAGGCCCTATAATCCGTCGGTATGGCCTCTACCAGAAGAATCTGACCGCAAAGGCCACGGGGGTGAAGGCCAGGTGTGGACCTGTTCTGCTCTTACAGGCATTACAGTAGGCAGTAGTTTGCTCCTGTTCTTACCCAGGGGTCATTACCATGCTGCAGCACTGGCCCTCTGGCGGTGTCTCCCTGACAGGTGATTAATCCTACACCGCTGCCCCAACTTCAGGCTCACGGCTGGGAGGGCACCCACCTGGGGTGATGTTGACGCCGTTGCCATTGACGATGGGCCTCTCCTCCTCCTCCTCCTCGGGGGGCTCAATTCCGGTCTTCTCCATGTTGGTGACGGACTTGTTGCGCTTCCTCTTGCCCTCTGCGCTGGGTCGGGCGCCAGGCAGGATCTGCTCCGTTACATTTAGCAGCAGAGGGGTGGGTTCCGCCGGGGGCTTGGGGGTGCCGTAGTAGTTATCTGCAAGGGGGACAGGAGGAAGGCGTGCGTTGCTCTTTGTTTTGCGGACCGTCGACCTTCATGGAACAGACCCAAAGCAGCCTGATTAACCCGACAGGTATGCATACGTCCCCCCAAAGCACAATCCAGCCGACCAGTGTTCCGACCGGTCACATGACACTTGAGAAATCTGGCATGTCACTCCCTTCCTGCAGACGGTGAGCTGGCCGGACACAGAGCCCTGCCCTCCTGAGTGTTTCACACTTCACCCACTCACTCCTTCCCCTGGGACCAGGTCCAAATCCTGGGTACCAGGCTCACGCAGAGGCACTTGCGCTGGCTGCGACAGCGTCTCGATGGAGGAGACGTCAGTGCCAAGGCCCCCCGTTAGCGTGATGAGCGCTTTGCCCAATGCATACAGTCGTCAGGTGGCTGCCACGGGACTCACATGAGGGGCAGACCCAGATGGAGTGGCTGCGAGCCGAGGCTGAGATCCGCTCGCCAACAGCTTGAGTGGAGGCTCAGCGGCTCCACACCGAGGGACGCGTGTTCCTGTAACACCCACGGGCGACATTCCCGCCCACCTCCGGCCATCCCAGACACAACAGCCTCCGACGGCATTTCTATCTGGAGGGCCGACGCCAGTCTGGGTGAAAGGCTCCGGAATCCCCGTGGGGGCCCCGACCGCCTCCACGCAGCTGCTCGCCGGACGTCTCTGACTCAGACAGCAGGGAGGAGCCCGCGGCGCACCTTCAGCGGAGGTGTTTTACAGGAGGGGGTTCAGTGCAGACAGGAGAGTGATCCTGAGAAAAGGCTTTAAGCTTCACACGAGCCGCAATCATGCAACGGGAAAGACTGCGACTGCAGCAGTCTGAAACCCCACGAGCCGGAATCTCATCTGCTCACTGACAGATATCGGCGTTTATGTGGGGGTGGGGGGACCCTTGCCCTCTTCACCACTATCAATCTGTCATAATTTCTCTCACCCTCTTCCCCTTCGTCTCCCTTAATCTGCATCGCAAATTAACAGGCGAATGATGGAGGAGCAGCGATCCAGAAAGAGGACGGCGCTCCCTGAGAATCCATCCGAAGACACCGAGACAAGGAATGAATCTAGCATGGGCGGTGAGTGGGGGGGGGGTGGTACTGTAATGTCGGCAGCCAACCGTTAAATTGACCATCTGCAATTTACTTTTCGAAAAGAAAACGACAGAGAAATGCAACACTCGGCCTCACGGGCCGAAAGCGTCATTTGCATCTCCCCTTGTTTGTTTTAACTAAGAGTGAATAACTATCAGAAGCGGAAGCCAGGACTATTAGCTGTAGAGCCATTTGTTTCAGGATGTGTTGGAGTTGGCCATGGGGGAAATGAGATCCCTACACCCACACGGGGCGGGATGCCCACATGCTGTCGAATCACAAGCCCGGCCGAAAAGAAGGGGAACAAAGAATTCAAAGACACAAGGCTTGGAGCTGCCGAGGACAGACAGCACATGGGAGTCTCACTTGCCCTTCGTCTGGAAGCTACATCCCTCCCTTAACTCGTCAAGGCATTAGTCCTCAGCAAGGGGTTAAATGTGACCGAGTGGAGGCTCTCCAGAAGCCACACATTCAAGGGCTTAAATTTATTTTAAGGCTTTTCTTAAGTGTTGAGAGACGAGTAGCAGTGAGGTCATTCCTTAGGTCTGGGTGCCCTACCTAAGGGGAAATGGGTCTCGTTATTGAAATGCTGGTAGTGGAACCTGGCCCTCAATAGTCTTCATTCCTGTGTACCGGTGTACTGACAATGGAGGGGCCAAACAGGAACAGGGACAGGACAGGAGGATTTAATTCACCTGCGACATTCTGCAGTGCTGATACGTCAAACCGCGAAGACAGGAGGAAGTACAAACGTCCCTCCTACCTTCATATGTTCCACTCTCCAGTAAGGCCCCACTTTTTTCCAGTTCTATAAACCGGTCAACGGTCACAAAATTGTAGTCCACCCCTGGGACCTCTCCTTCCTTGGGCTGTCTCGTTGTACCTGCAGACACAGAGAGAAAGAAGCTAAAAGTTAACTTCTTGGATATGGACAACCAAGGTCATCTTCAAGGTCCAAACACGGCAAGACAGGATCTATAAAGGATTCTACCATAGAGTGACCCGAGGTGGGATCCATATCTGCTGGTAAGTCTATATTGGCTACATCTCTATGTTTTAACCCCATCAAAATTCAGCTTGTTTTACCTTAAAACTTCTGGTATTTTACATGTGCTAGTTTTACATGTGCTAACACACTGCAGTGCTAAGAGACTGTGCCCTCAAACACTGACTGATACTGTATCAGATTCTGCATTTAGCAGGAAACAGTTAATGGATAAGTACCTAGGGTAGTTGCCCTGTCATTATCTCACATAAGCATAGCTTTTCTTGTCTATAGCGAGAGAAGAGCAAGGAATCTGTTTCTGTATGGTGAAAAATGAGGCAGTTTCACCATGGAGGTAGAAGCAGAATTCATGCAAGGCCCCTCAAACAAACAACCAGCCACAATGTCCTCTGGAATCTGGCCTTACAGCCAACAGAGCATTTAAAAACCAGAAGCAAAAGTACAAGCAAAAGCAACAGTATCTAATTTAATGGTGAAAGTGCAACATGCGCGACCCTGCAAGGCAGATAATTCTCAAAGCGCCACACATTACGGTAATTAGCTAATCATCACCTCCGGAGGTCCTGCCAACCGCTGGTGTCAGCATGGGGATACGCGACGCCGAGGTGCTAAGTAGGCTGCTGCAGAACCCGCCGCACCCTCTGAGATTTCCTGAAAGCCGTACGCTGCCCCTGGAACCCGGGGTACACTGATGGTGTACGACTGAGCTGAAGCCATGCCACAAGCCTGACCCCACAAGTGTTTAAAAGTTGCATGCTGGAAAACTCTGGCCAACAGACACCATCCCTACTTGACAGGCGCTGCGAAGCCCCATGGCTGCTGGTCTGCTGTGCGTGATCTGCGTGGGGCACAGGACACACATATACCTGACGCGACTCGTTTGATGCTGAGACTGCTACATGGAGCCCAAACCTGGGGAGGTCTGACCTCAGTGACATCACGGCTTACAGCTTAGAGCTCTGTGCCTGTCGTCTTATCCAGAAACCTGTTAGGAATACCGGCGATGCAGCGACCTGTTCCGTGCCGTTCAAATTAAATCCATCCGCTCAATTCCACCAATAATCCCGCCTGACGCTCCAAATACACCATACTGACCATCTCTTGGCCCTGCCGCCGTAATCTCTCCCCACCGTTGCCTGTCCGACCATGAAATAATGTAATGAAAAGAAAATGAATCCACTACAGCCATTAAATTGCTTGGCAACATTGCCTCGAAGCCCCATTTGTTGATTAATAAGTTCTTAAATAGGAAAAGAAAATAGCTTTACAGAACCTGACCCCCTGGCTGATCTCTATGTGTGGAAGATTCTGGTGCCAAACAGCACTTTTTGTTGTTAAATGAGACATTATTAGATGATGCCAATCATGTGAGGCATCTGGAGCTGACATCTGACTTCTGGGAATCCACACAGACTCGGAGCCTCCACCAAAAAGAACACTTAAATTCATGTTGTTTTGTTGCAAGGTATTGTGATTATCTTTCATCCAAACCCAAGAATAAAATATAAATAATAACCTCTTTAGAATAGTCTGGCCTCCTTCCCCTCTGGGTAATTAATTATTAAAGATGTGGAGAGAAAATAAGCAAGAAACCTTTCCTCAGCACAAACATACAGAGACATTGGCCGGCCAGCCAGCTTTATGCTTTATGCATGCGTGTGTCACATGGGTGGAGTTTTCCAGTGAGTGCATTCCTGTGCCGACCTCTCCGACCACAAGCCATGACTGCAAAACATGGCAAGACTGTAATTAGCTGCTGGATTCAGCACTTCATCCTCTGATGGGTCATGGAGATACTAAAGTGTGTAGCTTCTCCAGGCCTCATCACTGCCCTGATGTAGTTCAAGGCTTGATTAACAATTTCAATTTAACAGATTCACCCCATGGAAGAGTCAAGCGTTCACACTTAGCAGCATACTGGAGAGGTAGTACATACACACTTATTAAACAATTACAGCAAGAGCTCAGCTGTGAAGTATGGACACTGCAGCTTCGAATTAAAGACCCAAACTAAGACCTACTGTAGTTATGAGTCCAACATTCCCCTTCCCAAAACGGATGTAGTTTGGGGGTGATTGAAAAAACAATTGCCTCTTGTCTAGGGGAAATAAAGTGTTCTAAGTGCTTAACAACTTCCTGTTCATCCGTCTCCCTAACAACAGGGAAATAAGAAACATACAATAAAAAAAGCAAATCTGGAAGATGAGAGTGTTACCAATTTGACCAGCACCCACAGATGAGGCAGGGGAACAGCTAAGCCAGGGACGCTCTGTGTTCACTTGGTGTGTCAGCGGGAGGCTGGAGGCGCAGATCCACACGCATGGCCTTGCCCATCTGATACCCTGACAGCAATGTCCTCAATATAAGGGGTGAAACTGAAGAGAGGATAGCCTCACCCACACCCGCCCCCCACGCTCCCAATTTGTGTGTATTTAAACCTACTCACTCCTCATGGACGAGGTCAGTCCAGCAGTTCTGTGTTCAGAGATGAAACTACATCACCAGGAGGCACATCAGGGCTGACAAAGCCTTTGTAGTGTCTACTAACACAGCTGCGGGGCTGAGTCTACTGAGCCCCACGCAAAACTGCCCTCAGTACCAGAACCCACATCCACCTGGGTTAATTCCCACTGACACACTGGAAGGACCCAGGCAGTTCACCATAGAAGTAGTAAAAGATATTCATATTGTAAGAAGCCCCTCACTGTCCATCCATTAGCATAGGCAAGGAGCGCTACAGCACATATTATTAACCAGCTTTTTCATTCTGTCTTCTCTTCCTGGGGCATGATTAAGTCATTCTGGGTAATTTGTTAAGGAGCCCAGCTCTCTTGTCTGTCCCTCCCGGCATCATGCCTGATGATTGTCTCCCACAGGTATGTCTGTCACTGCTGGGAATTACCACCCTCCAATCAGCCTTTTCTTCCTCACTGGGGGGCGGACTTCAGTTTTGAGCCCCCAGGCACCAATTTGCTTCAGGTCAGTGTGACTAGCTGCCTACAGGGCCATGCAGTGCCTCTTAATTCACTTCCATGCAATGCCATGCAGAACTAGAGGAGCAGCCTGTTCCTGTCAAAGGGCCCTGCACGCAAAGGTAGAGGTGTGACAATTAAAGCCTCTAGTCTGTTTTCATCCTCACATCACCCACAGCGTTTGCACCCTTTATTGGACTGGCCTCCAGTCCAGGGCGATCCCTGCCTTGTGCTCTGCAATTCCTGGGACAGAGTCTGCCATCTTGCACTGGATAAATCATTAAAAGATGGATGGATGAATGGCTGCATTTGTCATAGGAAGTTTTTTGCATTTAACCAAACATCTGCTTCTCTCATGCTTCACAGTATCTTTTCAGCTGTGAACTGAGGCGGTCCTTGGTTATGCTCTCCACAGACACATTGGCCATAACTGTATTTAATAGTACTGAAAACATGCAGCATGGACAAATCTGCATGGAGAGACAGAGTGTCTTTTGAAGCATGATGCCAACCCAAGAAAACATGGTGTGCAGACAGCGGTGGGACAGGCCCTTGGTCCACGTTTCATCTCTGCATGCACACTCCCCAGGGTCCCTCTGCCTTCAGGGCAGTAAAAGTATCCAGCTGTAGACAGCTTCCTTTCTCTGGCTGTCTGGCACACATGCTTTTGTCAGTCTACACATTTTTAACACCTGGTTCTTTTTATTAAAGCTCAGCCCTGTACTTGACGCAGATCACACGGTTAACCAAAAGATGCAGCCTACTTGGTGTCAGCGCTGTGTAGTGGCCATATCCTGGGTAAGCTTTGACCTTTATGACCTGGCAATGCCAGCAGCGGGGGCAGGGATTAGGTGGGGCCAGGCCTGGGTACAGCACCACTAAGGCACCACTGTGGTTCACACTCTCAATCAGTGTTTGCGCAAGGACATACATTTTGCTGACGCTAATCTAAACATCTGGTAATTAGGGTGCCAGCTCCTCCCCCCCTTAATGCCTATGTGCTAAAGGGCTGGATTAGGGCATCATTCACTGGCCTGAGCACAGGAAATGCTGGTGGGAAGGGTAGGGTGGGGGTCTCTTTGGTCACCTCACAGTGAAAACCTGCTTCCTGTGCACATTTTAATAATGAGTCGCATTGCGATGCTGCATGTCTGCTAAGCCTGTCTTTTCAGCGACGTTAAGCACGCTTGCTCGGTCAAAAAAGAAACACGTCTACTGCGTTTAAAAGCGACAATTAGAGGCCGAGGTACCAAGGACGGCTGAATGCAAAAGATCCAAATCCCCATGCCTTTTCAGCATCTGACAGGCTGAAATGTTAAATGTAACGTGAGCCACAAGCCGCCAAATGAACACTACACTTTCCTGTTAAACCGGGAAGGAGACTGCAGTTAAATAACTGACCTTTGCTGTTTCTTGCAAAGCTAATCAGGTGCCAAATTTAGAAAAAAATATTTGTGAAATACTGACCATAGCTCAGTTGGCCAGTTCTCCTCACAAGGCTATAGCACTACGGGCTTTGAACAGCTGAGAAGGCAGGTATATCCTGTGCCATCCAGCAGCCTACAGCTATGACGCAGAACTCATTCCAGGACTAGTTGGCATGGCGATAAGCCCCCTCCAATCACTTCTGAAATTCAGCGCTACCAGTCTGCTCTCCCTGACATCGGTGTTTGGGTTCAGTTACAAGAAATGATTTCGGACCTCTGTTGATGCACTTCAGACACTGACGTTAGTAGAATCCCACCACTCTGTGGAAAACAAGTACTGGTGACGTGATCCAGGGTACAACCTACTCTTACGTCACAAGCGAATATTATAGCCCAGGTCTGGGTGATACTGTGCTAGGATAAATGATACTTTGGGTATGCAGCTACATGAGCGGCATGGTGGTGCAGTGGACAATAC